TGCAACGATATCGACTGCATTCAGATTAAAGAAAAAATGTTACTAGAACCGAGTGAACACGTAAAATTATTATAGACATAAAGCACTAGTACTGATCAAGAATATTGAACTGTGACTCACCCTTGCTCCTTGAGGGCAACTTTGTCCATGTCTTCGACATGACCAGTAACGGGCTCTGTTGGCGTCGATCGTTCCTCCGATAATTGATAACCTACTGACTTTATGAAACTGAATCCAGTATCCCAAGTTCCCAATGGCATAATAATTATCAGGAGCAACCAGTTTTCCAAGTATTGCAAACTGAATGCTGTTTCTGCATGGACCAGTAAATGTGACTGATCTTATCAAGAATGTACCACGAGGAACGGATAATGTCGATGGTCTAACCGAGCTACACGCTGCCATCCATGCCCGGAGAAATGCCAAGGTTGAGTCTGTTCTCCCATCCCCTTTAGCTCCAAATCTAACCACATTGTATGCTAATGCTCCATGAGGAGATAACATCAATTCAATGATCAATGCAAGAAAATATATCAAAGAAATTGTCTTGAACATGGACATTTTTATGCTTCTATTGAACTGGGAGTGACTAGAAAGAACAGATGAGAAGTGAAATTATATAGTCAAATGAAAGAATGGGTTAATAATTTATTAAGATGGGAATCCAATTAAATGACTTAGATCTCAATTTACGTGATGTACTGGTGCATGTACGGTGATAATGTGATGACTTCTTGATGAGTGTATATTATTGACTAAAGATCCATAAAAGACGCAGCAAATCATAATATTCAGTATTCACGCAATGCATGATGGTTCAATTAGAAGGAAAATATATCATTGATATAAGGGAAAATTGCAGAAGTGGTCCCTAACCTTTTTCATTTTTTGCACTTTATCCTAACTTTAAATTTGTATAAGTGAACGTCCCTAACCTTTTAGAAATATTGCATCTGAGGTCTAGTTGGATGGAAACCATCCATTTGACCGTTAGTTAACAAATAAAATCAAAATTTGATCAATTTTAACCAAATTAAAAGGGGTAAAATTATAACTTTAGAATTACCACATTAAATAAATAAATAAATAACCCAAAGTAGAAAAAAAGTTGTCTCTTCCAAACCCCCCACCCCTTTTTTCAAAGCCACCGGCAACGTCGGCATCACCGCCAGTCGATCGATCGGCCATAGCCATCAAAGGTGGTTGGCCAATAGACAAATCCAAGTGCCCAGTAGACAAATCATTTTTTTTCTATTTTTTAGTTTTATTAATTTTATTAATTAATTAATTTAATATGGTACTTCTAAAGTTACAATTTTACACTTTTTAATTTGGTTAAGATTGATCAAATTTTGATTTTATTGATCAACTAACGGTCAAATGGATGATTTTCATCCAATTAGACCTCAGCCACATATTTCTAAAATGTTAGGGATCGCTGTTGTAAATTGAAGGTTAGAATAATACTTGATAATATGCCAAGATCACACTACTTTTTTCCCAAGTAATTTTTCTTTCTTGTACTGAAATGGAATGTAACATCATTCCTAATTTTTTGCAACATATACACATACAAAATTTTCTTACTGTAAATATTAATTATTTAAGATGACGACAGTTTTAATGCTTCTTTTAGCGAAGCATTTACTTCCACTATTTGTTGGTGTCTCATGAGGTTTTGCTCCAAACTTTTCAGTTTCCATTAGGTCTACCA